AAGTTAAGGCCCGCATCGAGACGGCTGGTCGCTTGATTAATCCAGAATTTTCCTAACGTCGCTACTCGGACAGCAGCATTAGAATGATGTTAATACCCATACAAACGATATGTGTATTATCAATTACTACCTCCATCCGAAAAAGAATGTCCGACTTCAACAAAACACAAATCCGAAACTGGATTTTTGTTATTTTAATTGAATGTCCGACTTGACATTCAATTAAAATAAAAAGATCCAATACAAGAAAGAAGACATTAAATTCGCTCCGTAACAATTAAAGCTGCAAAATTTCCATCACGTCTACAGTAAATCCATCGTCGGCTTCGTCGTCGATGTTAAGCGCCTCCATCACGTTGCATAGCTCAACCAGGTCCTATTTTGCGTTCACTTCCACCTGTAGAGTACTCATCAGGTTGTCAAAGTCCACGCAGCTCAGCTTGGAGCACCCATCAGCCCACACAGAGCGGTCGCACGGTAGACACTCGGGCAACTTCCCCTGCGCCATGAGCATCGACTTCTTCAAATGCGGTATCTTGTAGTTGTTACTTCTGTCTGATCGAATGACTTCTTGGAAGCAGGCTTGTAGGGTCATGAAGTTCCGACTCAATGTACTTGGATCCACCACATTCCACGCATCCATGGTAGCGGCAACAATGTCTTCCACGGTTCTTGAATGATGATTCGATTGTAGCGATTGAATCGCGCGGAAAAAGCCAAGATCCAAGACATTCAACTCAGGTGAATTCGGCGGTTGGCATACGATGGACATGGCCCAGCCATCCTTGTTGCATGCGGCAACCACCTCGGCATCATTCGGGAGGACGTGTGGTTTGGCGTTATCTTGCTGGATCTTCAACTTCGTCGGCGCTGAGGGCCACTTCTCGCGGATCGCAGGTATAACCTTGTCGACGAGCATACGTCGGTACACGTCGCGCGTCACATTGACAGGTTGAAGGACAGAGTGTCCAGCTGGACGGTTGCGGCTTGTACGCTTGGCAGGCACGACTTCGGTAAATGCCACGTTCCAATCTTGCCGTCGAACCATGACTGACGAGTGTCATCCCAGCGCGGGCGAGCAAAGGCCGACTAGAACATCACCTTCTGGATGAACCGTTTTGATTTGCACGCCAAATGAGGCGGCACTTCACCCGGAGCGAGGTATATGTCTTCTTGAGTCATGTCATGAAAAACCATTTCTCATCTATGTGCACACAGTCCATGAGGTTGTCGAACACAAGCTCACGGTTCTCGTGGCGGACATGGTCAAGTGCCCATTTTAGTCGAGCAGCTTGGTTTGCCGGAGTCAATAAAGGTTTGATGTTGCTTGAGTATTTCGAGAAGACCCCTCGTTTGAAGTAGTCATGACGTGTCGACGGCGGCAATCCCATTGCTGCTGCGATGGACTTAAAGGTGGTTCGACGAGCTTTAGGGGCTTTGCTTAGCTGATCTGCAAGGTTAATGTATTTAATCTTTCGTCCACTTCTTGTCTTCTTTCGAGAAGATACTTCAGCACATATGGCCTGCACGCCGGAGCAACCAAGAGAGGCGCGTGTCCAAATACGATGAACAGTCCTTGGGCCACAATCAAACAAAGTCGCCATGCTCTTAACTGTGCCTCGAGGTAGCTTGCCATCCGGAATGCAGACCTTCAAGAGGTGCTGAAGTAGGTGTTGCCTCTGAGTGTTCGTCAGGTTCTTCTTCTTGGTGCCAGCGCGCATGATTTGGACAAGCCGCCAAGTTTTCCCGCCGATATTTT